GATTGAACCATATTTTGTTTTGCCGCATGGGATATATCATTTAGGAGTTGTATTTGTTCAAAATAAAAGTTCAAAATAAAAACAAAATGAATACTAGAGCAACGATCATGATTGTTTGTGTGTAAATTTTTCACATAGAAATTCTTATATACAAAATATGTAATTACTTGTAATTAGAAAGTGTTGAATTTAGAATTTGTTTGATGCCTAATGACTTATTTGATGTGTGTCAGAAATAATGTTTGTGTTGAAAAAAATAATATCTGGAAACAAAGTGATCCCTCGGAAGTATAAATCACAACAAAATAACATGAAAATTGCAGACTCTAGAGTATGTACATGAGGGATAATGAATAAGTGCAACATACTTCACGCCCCCCTAGAAACGGCTTGAGCAGTACCCAATTCTTGAAGTTTTAAAATTGGATAGTATATACGAATATTAATGAACTGACTTCAAACAATGGTACAATTATAACACGTTGCATTTCCCAAAATCGTTCTTTATTGACATCGCATGTCAGATGGCATTTATAATGTCATAATAGACATGATAACTGTATACTTTTAAATCGTGTACTTTTCATAATATAACATGCATTTTTGTATAACATTACCTATTGCAATGAATTAGGATTACATGTACTTTCAAATAACCTCATTATGTTTATAATTAACTTCAATCACTAGAAATAAATGTTATACAAACATATATATTTACGACTTGATTCACGAATCTAAATGATTCGGAACGAACATTCATGAGTTATTTTGAGTTGATTATTGCACTATATAAGATGGTATTTATTGAACACAGTGTTCGTTTCACGCTAAAATGTTTGGAAACTACATTCATTGGCAAGCATGCTCCTTGATTTCAATCAAATTCATTTGCAACATGTATTCTAAAATTATTAGATTAAATTAGAATATTTTCTTTTATCTTCGAATAGGTTTAAATAAGGTCCAATCCTTACGTGCTTGTTGAGTGTATATCAATACTCCTTACTTCACAATTGTAATTAGATTTTGTAAACTGATCTGTCTTTTGAGATTTGGATATACAACTGTGAAGGTTTGCTCTTTCCAATTCTGCCAATAAATGTCTGACTCCAGTGATTAATGATCACATCACGTGATTTACTTCTAAATTTGTATCCTGTTAATAGTTTTTGCGATAGAAAATTAGTGCTTTGTGGTATGTAAATTTTCAAAGAAAATATAGGCCTCTTTACGTTCATCTAGGCTCTCTACACTGAGTTTTTTATTTTGAACCTTACCGACATATTTTGGACAACGATAATAAATTTATGGATTTAAAATTTTCAAAGGAAATAATAAATAGAGGATATTGAATGAGTGTAAGTTCAATACTGAATTTATTGCACGAGTTGAATAAAATTATATTATGCGAGCCTCTGGCGAGCACAATATTATTTTATTCAACGAGTGCAATAAATTCAGTAATGAACGTACACGAATTTAATATTCTATTTATCACATACCCAAAATAAAGACCATTTAAAGTGAAATAAGAGTCATTTTTCATTGACGCGCCTATAGTATAACGCTAACATTTAGCGCGTCTTTACACTATGTTTGTATTACGCTAATGACGTCACGTCAAAATATATGCACGGCCGTGCAATACCATATTTACGGAGTCGCAAAATCGGCACGGGTGTGTGATAAAGATGTGTATGCTTAATTTACTTTATAACACGCTTTAAGCTATTCTAAGTTGCAAAAGAAAGAGTTCACGCGGCCATTTTGGAAATTCTGTAAACTCACTTGAACAAATATTGGCAAATTCGGTATCTAAATCTGCAGGAATGTATTGACCACAAAATGTTTTTTTGTATTGACATTTGATAATTGTCAAAATTGTGGCTTTGTGTAAATAGCGAAAGGGCGAAAAGTAAAAGTTGCAGAATAATGACTATGTTTAATTGTTTGGCATTAATCACTATCTGAACATTATTACCATCTCGTCAATGGATCAACGAAAGTGTTTGAGAGTGCATGGAACTTGCGTAACGTCATATGGAATTGGATTCAAATGATGCTCCTTTCAAATATTCTATCCCAAAGGCCAGAAACGCATTTACAAAAAGCAAATGAATGAAGAATGTGGCGCCGTTATATGTCGCAACGTCGCTAAATGTTGCACCATTACAGCTGAATGCTGGACTCCAATAAATGATGCAAAATCTTCTGACGATAAATCTCGCAATAGTTACATTAAATATCGCACGATTTTCCCTTGCTGTTAAATGTCACAACGCTACCGTTTAATGTCGCAAGATGAATAGTCATGATCTAGAACATCTTATTATCAACATCTGCATATAAATTACACAGGACACTTAATACTATCAACATAAATGTGTATGATATTGCATACATTCCAATTCACTTTAAATGTCATTTTCATTTGCAATGTATATTATGCAACTTCGCAACATGTTATGTTTCATCTTTTAAGTATATTGCTGTGTGTACTTTGCAAACTATTTTATTATTTATTTTACTTTATAACTAGACAAGTGTCCATCTACTTGTTATTCTTCGATGTGGGTTCGAATACCGCCAGGTCTTATGGAATCTTACTAAGATTCTACTAAGGTTCTACTCAGGTTCCCGCTTGTACACGTGGAGCGGGTGGCACCATAGGGCTTCCTCCACAAGTAAAGATGAAAAGATGCTACATGACCTAACTGTGTTATATGACCTTACCAATGCCTAAAAACTAAATAGGACATATCGTAATAAGAAGTTTAAAAAACTTATAAGGAGAAATAAAATTCAATTTTTTTTCTCCGTATAAAAACCTCATTAGAAGTTAAATAGTTTAAATCACGTTTTTATTTTATATTTAGACTTTTGGGGCTGCTTTTTAAGATAAAATATTTCTAAACTCCTCATAATAGTTACATTAGGCTTTTAATATTTATTAATAAGATTTATTTCTCCTAATTATGAGTATAAATTTCTAATTAGCTGTAACTGGAAGTAAGAAAGTTCTAATAAGGTTTTTTATCTCTCCTATTTAAGAGTATCAAAGTCCTACTTAGGCTTTCTAAACTCCTTAGCAGAAGTAAAAAGCCTATTTAGGCTTTTAAAATTTCTTATTCCGAATTACCTAGTTATTTTGTGAGAACATAATATTTTGTACAAGACGATTCCATACCCAAACACGCCTGAAAACATAGTTAGTAGAGATTTTCGACCACACGACCACATACATGCATCGGACATGTTGTAAGGAAAATGACCGTGTGACCACATACACACATCACAAGATTCCTCCTCTCTTTCGAAAAAGGGACAAAGAGCTGCTTTGTCGACGAATTTTGAGGGCGCCGACGAAGATACGATACAATTTAGACGAAATAGCGATATATAAATAGGAGAAGACACCAGATCTGCTTTTGTAGAATTATCGTGTCGGCGGGTAGAAATCGTCGTATATGTAATAATGTATACGCGCCCTATATGTAACATGTCTTTCCTTCAAAATTGGCCAATTTATCGAGTTCTAAACTTCCGGGGCGAAGACACGACGACTCGATAAATCGGCCTGATGTCGTAGCTTAGATCCACGACATCTGGGTTGCTAAATGAAAAAGAAAAAGATGTATACATATGTGTTTAATCACCATATGTAGGGTGTCAATTTTTAATACCGACTAAGATGATTTCAATTTTTACCAATTATTTTGTACATCACGGAAAATTTTTCCTTTTTTTCCTGTAGACACCCTAATTTCCGGATGATTTAAATTATTTGATATTAAATTAAGCCCAAATTTTTTAAACATAAATTAAGATATTGCGTTTTTAAGGGTGGGGTTGTGACATTTAACGGTAAGGGAAAACGGTGCGACAGTTAACGTCACTATTGCGGCATTTAACCGCAGAATATTTTGAAAATTTAGCGGCGATTGCGACATTTAGCGACATATAGCGGCAAGTGCATCATTTGGCGACGTTGTGACAAATAACGGCACCACAAAGAAAATATTAAAAAAAACGGACTAAAAATATTTTTTTCAAAACATCTAAGTAAACATTCAAATAAACCATAATGGTATTCTCTTCATTCGTATTTTCTTCATAAGAACGACGGAAAGATATCTCTACGAAGACTGCATGCAAACCATATGTATATTATGAGGAAATTCATAGAGGTAGCTTTACATTTCGATTATTCCCCCTTCCCCAAAAATGCTTTGATTATCAATATCCATATGAATTTCACCACCCAAATAAATTGTGTCCGATTATGTAAATATTCATTTTTCAAGTATATTTTACTTCCTTTAACTATCAAAGAATGTTTTCATCTTTAATTACGTATGAAACTATTTATCAATATTATATTTGGGCTAGTCGGTAACCACAATCAATTACGAATCAGCTTAGTGTTAATTACATTAAGTTTAATTAATATATCCTGGTATTGTTTATATTAGGAATTGGTTCAATTGTAACAGGATATTATTGATAATGCATCAATTTAATATGAATTATACGTATAAATAGATAAAATCTTGAAACTTTAATACAGCTATAAGTGTTTTCCTATTATCTGATTAATTGACAAGTATGGTGTATTATATATATATATTGATATATCTTGTGCTAAATGGTTGGTACTACATAAACTAAAGTGTTCATTAATCTTTAGCATGCTAGGGGCAACTGATTCTATCCAAGCGACCAATGCAGAACATGTCAATGATAATAGTCCGCACTATTTAGCACTTATTTCTAGATTTTTTTTAAAAGTGATATACAGTTTTGACCAAATAAAAACATGGACACTTCAAATTTAAGATATTAAGAGTTGCAAGAGATTAAAATAATGCCTGGATCACTTATATATTTAGTTATAAAGTTTTTAGAGGTTATATGGTCCTATAAAAACGGTTGTTCCGAGAGTTGTATTGGAAGCAATCGTTTATATGGCAATATCACCTTAACGAATTTATAATAAATGCAGCAAACTTCATTTTTAGAGAAAAAAGGTAGATTTTTTTATAAACTGAGAGCAGTCGTGTATATAAAACTATATAAACGTCACGATTATCCAATGAAAAACGACGTATCAACCGTGAAGTATTATAATGTGTAATATAATCTAACACTTCATTATAGAAAAACAAACTGACATTTTGCACTGACATCTTTCGACTGGTTCTTTTCAATAGTGAACTAAACCAGATTTACGACTGTTGATACACAAATTGTTATTCTTACATTAGACACTAACTTCTTAAAATACTCTACAAATCTTTCTAACAGTACATTCTTGTCTTCAAATGTCTTCAAATAGTGAATTAGACACAACTTTGATCTTCTAATTTCCATGGAATCAATCTGTATTGCTGAATTATTTAGATATTACATGTACGTGCATTTATAGTGCGTAAACATGTGTACGAGTAATTCATAAATGCGGATTTCGTTCCTTAAAAGGAATCTAATCATTGCATTGATCTATCTATATACGTATCATTTAGGTAATCAGAATGTTCATACTTATTGAGACACATCCTTGCGCTTCCTTTTTCCAGGGAAGATCTGCTGATTTCTTGCGGGATCCTGGTCTGTATATGTATAAATATGCAATGAATTGCTTCCAAGTCTTAAAATAATAACTAATTTAGTTGAGAATCGCGTTTCAAAAATATATAAGACGTTACAATCATTAAATTAAGCTTTTGTCATATTCGCAAAGGAAATACTGAAAATGAAAATTGCGTTAGCTAGCTTTTGTGTAGCTGTTCTTCATTTGACACAAGCGATGTGGTTTAATACGGCGGTAAGTATTTATTTATTTATTTACTCTTGCACTAAGATGTTCACTGGTTCAAAGCGCTTTACATGTTACATAAAAAAAGATTTTATATCATATTTTTATTGTTCCACCACTTCACATATTTGTTAATAAAAAGCGAAATCTGGAGCATTTTTTTTTCTTTTTGGAATAGCGACGGAAGTTTTCGTGTAGAAGTTAGTGTAGTTGATCACATGAACAAACTTTAATAAACATTGAAGGAATTTAATAAATCTTCTTAATTCTGAAACATATGATGTCTGATTTATCCCATATTAAACAGCTTTGATGCGGCTCCTTCATAACTGCCCAACTCAACACAAATTGTCATGTAATTTGTTATGGCAAATGCACCAATAAGATACTAATATTTGCCGCTATTATATATGACATGATGGAGCAAAAATACGGTGCAGACAGGCGTTTATTTGTTTCTGTTTTTTATCTCAGATATTTATTTGTTTTTATCTCAGATATTTATTTGTTTTTACCTCATAAGTTTTTTCTCTCAAATGTTTTATTTGTTTTTAACTCAGATGTTTTATTTGTTTTTATCTCAGATGTTTATTTGTTTTTATCTCAGGCGTTTTAATTTATTTTTTAACTCAAGATGTTTAATTTGTTTTTATCTTACCTGTTTTATCTTACAGACGTGTAGACGGGGCTGAAGCTCCCGTCGCTATATAACGATAATAAATTGTTCAAATAATACATAAGGGACTTCCCAAATTGTTAGTTACACGGATGAGTATTTTTTCTTTACATTTCATTTTAACTTTGTGTCATTGAAAGGGAAAATATGAAATTATATTACAGTTTATGTAACTTACAGTCGAGTTTTGTTTTTGTTTTTCCAGTCAAAAAATAACTTTCTAGATGAAATGGCTCATGTGCAGAATATGTCACAGTGGTGTAAACATCTAAACATAGAGGATTGTGAAAAAGGTAGGTAACTATGATCACCATCACTATCATCATACTCATCAGTAGCTCCGTCATCTTCATATACATATATCCCTGTGGAAACCAATTATGTTACAGAAACGAAACTTTTATGAAAAGGGGCATAACTCTATCAATCATCAGTTGATTGTTGCGAAAACCAAACTTAACCAGTGTTTTAATATAACATAGTTACATGCCAAATACGAACACAACCATTGAAATTATTCAATAGAAATCCTTAGGAAACCATTTGTCTAAGGGCAGACAGACTGACGGACGGACAACAAAATACTTATACCTCCCAAAGTTTCTTAAGGCGTATAAAAATAGAATAGCTATCAATATGTAAAATATGCATGTCGTGGTAAAGACATTATTTTCACTATGCTAACATTTTGTGGTTTTGATGTCGTTTTGCAGTGATCAATTCTGTACCTACATCATTGATAGATGAAAATGGGAAAGTACTAGAAAGGTTTGAAAACGGTAAGCTTTATCTTATAAAAAGATCTGCTGGGTAAGGTGTAAAGAGTTGTCTCAAACTAGCCATAAGGTAGAAGCTTTATACATGACATAAGACATGTCATAAGATAGAAACTTTATACAGGACATAAAGTAGAAACTTTATACAGGTCATAAGGTAGAAACTTTTATACAGGTCATAAGGTAGAAAATGTATACAAATCATAGGCTAGAAACTTCATACAGGTCATCAGGTAGAAACTTTCATACCAGTTATAAGATAGAAACTTTCATACAATTCATAAGATAGAAACTTTATACAGGACATAAGGTAGAAACTTTCTAACAGGTCATAAAGTAGAAATTTTCATACAAGTCATAAGGTAGAAACTTTAAACAGGACGTAAGGTACAAACTTCATACAAGTCGTTAGGTAGAAACTTTCATACAGGTCATAAGGTAGAAACTTTATACAGGTCATAAGGTAGAAACTTTCATACAGGTCATAAGGTAGAAACTTTCATACAGGTCATAAGGTAGAAACTTTCATACAGGTCATAAGGTAGAAACTTTATACAGGTCATAAGGTAGAAACTAGTCATTAGGTGGAAATTTTATATAGGTCATTAGGTAGACCTTTTCATGTAAGTCATAAAGTAGATATTCTCATATAGGTCATATGGTAGAAACTTTTATACTAGTCATAAGGTAGAAACTTTATAATAGTCATAAGGAAGAAACTTCTATACATGTTATTAAGTAGAAACTTTCATTCTAATCATTAGGTAGAAAATTTGTATTGGTCATTAGGTAGAAATTTTCATATAGGTCATATTTCAGAAATTCTCATATCGGTCATATGGTAGAAAAACTCTCATACTAGTCATTAGGTAGAAACTTTCATATAGGCCATAAGGTAGAAATTCTAATATAAATCATAAGGTAGAAACTTTCGTACTAGTCATAAGGTTTAGACTTCATACTATTCATAAGGTAGAAACTTCAAAATAATCATACTGTAGACACTTCATACTAGTCATAACGTAGTAAGAAGCTCTATACAATGTTCTATTCATGAGGTAGAGACTTCATACTAGTCATAAGGTAGAAACTTTATACAGGTCATAAGAAAGAAACTTTGGTAGAACCTCTATACTAGTCATAAGGTAGAAACTTCACACAAGTCATAACGTAGAAACTTTCATACAGGTCATAACGTAGAAACTTTCATACAGGTCATAAGGTAGAAACTTTATACAGGTCATAAGGTAGAAACTTTCATACAGGTCATAAGGTAGAAACTTTCATACAATTTAGTCCAATCAGGTAATAACTTTCAAACTAGTCATAAGGTTTAAAATCTTTTATACAAGTCATGGGGTGAAGACATCATTCAGGTCATAAGATAGAAACTACATACCGGTACTTGGCATTATGAAGAAAATTTATAGCAGTCATAAGGTAGAAATTTCATGATAGTCATCAGGTAGAAACTTCATGATAGACATAAGGTAGAAACATCATAAGGTAGAAACTTCATGATAGACATAAGGTACAAACTTCATGATAGTCATAAGGTAGAAACTTTATGATAGTCATAAGGTAGAAACATCATAAGGTAGAAACTTCATGATAGACATAAGGTAGAAACTTCATGATAGACATAAGGTACAAACTTCATGATAGTCATAAGGTAGAAACTTTATGATAGTCATAAGGTAGAAACTTCATGGTAGTCATTAGGTAGAAACCTCATATAAGTCATAAGGTGGAAATTTCATGATAATTATAAGGTAGAAACTTCATGATAGTTATAAGGTAGAGACTTCATGATAGTCATAAGGTAGAAACTTCATGATAGTCATAAGGTAGAAACTTCATGATAGTCATAAGGTACAAACTTCATGATAGTCATAAGGTAGGAACTTCATGATAGTAATTATGTAGAAATTTCATGATAGACATAAGGTAGAAACTTCATGATAGTAATAAGATAGAACATTTATGAAAGTCATAAGGTAGAAACTTTATGATAGTCATGAGGTAGAAACTTCATGATAGTAATAAGGTAGAAACTTTTTGATAGTCATAAGGTGGAAACTTCATGATAGTCATTAGATAGAAACTTTATGATAGTCATAAGGTGGAAATTTCACGATAGTTATAAGGCTCATACTTCAAGACAGTTATAAGGTAGAAACCCCATGATAGTTATAAGGTAGAAACTTCATGATAGTCATAAGGTAGAGACTTCATGATAGTCATAAGGTAGAAACTTCATGATAGTCATAAGGTAGAAATTTCATGAAAGTCATAAGGTAGAAATTTCATGATAGTCATAAGGTAGAAACTTTATGATAGTCATAATGTAGAAAGTTCATAGAAGTCATAAGGGAGAAAGTTCATAGAAGTCATAAGGTATAAACTTGTATGCTAGTCATAAGACTGATACTTTCATACTTTTAATTAGGTTATAAGCTTTCGATTAATACGTTAGGAACTTTTGATACCGTGTTATTAGTCTTAATGAATAAAGTTGATCTTCGTACTAGTTATCAGTTATATAAAGCTGTTTCAAACATAAGTTATTATAATTTATTTGTTAAAATATTCAAATTCGATTGTGAGAAATGGTTGTAGCTTATTTAATCCACTTCCTGATACTAACCAGTACTGGTGTCATATGAGGAAGCTTGGCGTGGTCCCTATAGAGCTTGAACTCATGTATCCTTGGTTTGAGAGATAAAAACCTTAATCACTAGACCACTGCTTCTCTGAAATTTAAGTTACTGGTCATGTTTAAAACTTTCTGTATTTGATTCAAGCAAAATTTGTACGCCATTCGAAACGTGATTTGTTGTCCCAAAGAAAGCACTTCTTTTGACAGATTTCACAGGAAATGTACCGGAAGCAAACTTCGATACATGTTCATCAAGTTTACAAACGGTAATGATGCCAAAAAGGCCGGGATATTCCGTATGGCCACCATGTACACGTGCATTCAGATGTTCCGGTTGCTGTACGAATGCTATTAATTCTTGTCAACCCCTTACCACCTCGGAGAAGCAAGTAAAGGTATAAAAAGATTAACCTATTTATTTTGTATTTCTTTCTCTATTTTTGTTAACCATTCAGAAAAAAAAATGTTAAACCGCATAATGCTGAAAAGCAAATTCATGCTCAGGTTTTGAATGCGTACTGAATGAATGCTAATGTAAATTCCTGAAAAAAGAAATTCAATATCATGAAAGTGAATCGCGATACACTTTAGTGGATATACATGTATTTGTTTTCAAAACTATTCCACGACATACAATAATGAAATAACAGTTATTTAAAGTGAATATCAATTTTACTTGATTTTCAACGATTCAAACACAATCTTCATTATTTATTTATTTATTTATTTATTTATTTATTGATTTTCTGTTATGTAAAATATTTCGTATGGCTGGGCAAAAAGACGAAAGTACGAATCACGACTCAGCAATCGTAGCCCGTGACGTACTGTTTACCACCACCACATGTGATTGTGCAGACGACACCACCATTAATTTTCATTGAAATTATCGACTTTTGGTGTCAAATAGAGTGTCTGAGAGATGTAATTACAACAAGAATAGTTTTAACCACGAATATTTCATTTTTTCTTTGCTGCCTAAACTTATGACCCAATTGAAATTTACCACAAACTTACAGAAATGTATACCAATAACATTATATATCCCAGACACATCATCTCCATTGTTGTTGCTGATGTTATTGCTGTTGTTGCTGTTGTTATTATTGTTGTTGCTTTAAACGTTTTTATAACTTCAGGTAATTTACACCAAGCTACGAAATCCGGTACATAGACATACCATTGGAGATATTGACATTAGTCTTGTGTCGATAACCGAGCACAACGACTGTATGCCAAAATGTAAAACAAAAGAAGAAGATTGTCATATATTTCAGAAGTATGTTTGTTTATTTTATTTTTCTTGTGTGTTTGTGTGGGTTTTTTGGGTTTTTTTATTAACATTGTGATGATACTGGTGCTTTGTTTTTCAGACTCATATCGGAAGTCAAATCATTCAGCTGGAAAACTTGACTGTAGGAAAAAATCGACTGACAACTCTATGTTAATATGTCACAGGTTGTGATGGCAATTCCTTTTAGTCTTAGTACATGAATATTACCGACAAGAAAACATATATGAATTTCATTTTAAAACATGTTGAAAAATCTTAGGTTTTTAGGGCGTCGAACAGACGTTAACAAAAATGTATGACAAAACAAAGTGACTTATATCGCACCCGATTTAATGCGTTTTTAATTTAATTATATTATATAAGTTGATTTAGATCATTTATATATAATCTATAATCCATACATTACAACAGGTATGTACCAAGTATATGTAGCTGCGTCTGTCGGCCTGAGAGAGAAAGTCTTCAAAAAACCTGCAAAGGGAAACAAATCTGGGACGAGGAGGCATGTAATTGTGTATGTGTAAATATGAACACGACTAAATGTTCGTCATCTTCTTATTTCAGCACAGAGACGTGCCGGTAAGATTTTTGAATTAGTCAAGATTGTATATACAATTCAAAGCATTGTATCTATTATATTACTGCGGGTTCAAGATGCATCCATATATCACAAACTGACAATAATGTTCATGATGCTTAATATCTTAAATTGACTTCAATCTAAAAAAGTCGATGACTTCTAATCCAGTTACCTCTCTGGCGTGGGTTCGATCCCCGGGAGATGCTTTGGTAGTTTAGCGCGGAGGAAGGTAGTCTAGTACTGGTGTAACTCTCCAGGAACGATGGTTAGGAAACTACCCGCCTATATGACTGAAATACTGTTGGATAAAGGCGTAAAATCAATCAAACAAACAAACAAACAATCTAAAAAAAGCCCATAGATTTTAGAGGTATTTTAAATAAATGCACTGACTGATTATCTAACAAAACAGACCATGAACAGACGGCAAGAATGTGCTTGCTGATTGTTGCGCCTTTATATTTCGCTTTTATCGCTTAATGTCGCACCAATTCCGCAAAATGTTGCACCATTACCGCTAAATGTTGCGCTCCCCGCTAAAGTAAAAAAAATCTTCTGCCGTTAAATCTTGCAAGGGTAAAGTTAGATGTCGCAAGACTTTCCATTGTCGTTAAATGTCGCAACACTAGCATTTATTGTCGCATGAGGTTGGAAATTAGTTGTATATACGTTGAATAGAGGTTGGATTTATGTCATTTTATGACGTTGGACTGACGTTGGATTCCGACGTCTAAAAAACTTTCATATACAACTAAATTCCAACGTCTATCGAACGTCGGACTCTAACGTCTGAAAACATTGAAACAACGTCATGTGTTTGCTGGGCTGCCTCCGCATTCTAAGCCATTTCAATATAAAGTTGCAGCCAGTAAATGGCAATTAACATTTATTGAATGTTCCCTCAAATATGTATGTTTAAATTAACACGAAGGTAGTATTTATACCCTTGAAAAAGTACATGATACTTAATTTATCCGTACTAAACAGTGGTAGACCGTACCATTCCGTACCGTTTCGTGTTGCCTCTCCGTAGTACAACGCATTACGATCGTGGCTTTCCGTGACAATGCCGTATTAATCCGTATTTAAACCGTATCTTATACGTATTTAAACCGTATCTTATACGTAGGGTAACCGTACAAATACGTAGTTTTCCGTACCAAACCGTAGAAATCCTTGACAAGTTGGTGGACTACGAATTAGTACGGTCTAGTACAGTTTTTGTACGGACTAGCACGTATCAGTAAGGTTTAATACGGACTAGCAGGGATACGCTACGGTTGATTTTTCCGTAGCAAATTTTTATGCATGTTCAAAAATTGGCAAGGATCGCTACGGATATACAAGGACTACTACGATTGATTACGGTTACAATACGGAGATCTACTGACCTGTACGAGTAGCTACGGACGATGCCGGAATTAATCCGTGGCTCTTCCGTGGGCGTATTCCGTGAATATGTGACCGAGATATAACGGAAATACTGACATAACATCAGTTTTTTAACATGAATTTAGACATTGCGACATTTAACGGTATTGGTGCGACATTTAACGATAAGGGAAAATGGTGCGACATTCAACGTCACACATTGCGACATTCAACGGCAAATTTTTTTGAGACAGCAGCGATTGCGACATTTAGAGGCAATAGCGCGCTTTAAAGATCAAATATAATTATACATGTAATTAAGCGTTGTCTATTGTCCATACTGATTATTTAACAAATATTTTAGTTGTCAACTTAAGTCCAGTGCCAGCGGTGAAACTTATATAAGCCAACTCTTCAAACGCATGAAAACTGACTTACTTCGACAAGAAAATCTGAAGGAAAATCAACACGTCAGTAAAGAGATTGAAGTGAAAATGGTTGCTGGGAGGGTAACAGTGTTTGGAGAAGAAACGCTTGAAGAAAATGCCAATGTCAAAGAGAGTGGTGAGAAAACTATATTTTTATGTGACGGCTGCTACTTATAGAAACATTTTGATGAGACATTTGCTGTATTAATAAAAACATTCTGCTAGAAACAAAATTTCGATTTTCTTAATAAAATGTGCGCGGTCATTTATCAAGAGTATACTGACAGATTGTGATGTGAATATGTTGTTTCAGAGAGTTTTATGGGTTTTGTATTGCCTGTAAAATAGGAATGATGTGCATTTAAGTTTTCTTTATCTGTATTTGATATTTTATACTTGTACTATCGAGGTGCTGTATTATACTGGGCAGCCAAGAAGTACAGTAATTGTTTGCGATTATTTCCTTTTTTATATCCTCTAAATGCTTGTAAATTATGATTGACGTGCATTTCAGGGTGTTTCAATATTTCAATTTGCTAGATTACAAAGCTATTTTATCTTAGACGAGTACGACCAATAACCAAAGGTTATTTAGAAATTCTTACCAGTAATGTTTTGCAGGTCATGGAATTCTTAAAGATGGTGACGATGACGACTATAACGATGACGATACTAGTGATGATAAAGATGACGATGTTGATGACGAAACAATGCTGGTGCATAACGAGACGACTTAACATGCTGTTGACGATAACGATGACGACTTTAACAATGCTGTGACGTGATGACGATAACTGATGACGACTTTAACGCTGGGGACGATGATGACGACTTTAACAATGCCGATGCGATAACGATGACACTTTAACAATGCTGGTGACGATAACGATGACGACTTAAACGTTGACGTTGCTGTTGACAATGACATTGGTGTTTATTTAGCAAGAATACAAACTTTGAACATCGTGTAAGTTTTTTTGATATTCTTATAAATGTTTATATAAGGATTCTAATAGACATGAGAATAAAGTAACATTATTTTAATTTAATTTATTTATTTATTTATTTATTTATTTATTTATTTATTTATTTATTTATTTATGTATTTTATGTATTTACATACTTTTTTATTTATTTGTTTATTCTTCTTGACAAAATATTGCTTTTTATATTTTACAGAAGAAACCCTTGCTATGATACTAAATGCTCTGGAATCCTTAAAGCAAAGGAAATGAGAAATGGAAAATGTCGATGTCTACCTGACTTCCGAAGAAATGTTAGGACATTAAATCAACAAAATCTGTAGTCCTAACATTGATATTGTTATTCTAGTTCCCTGTGTTTTACTCACATGTATACTTTATCACTATGTAGTGCAATGGGCAGATAATCCAAACACTGGATTTATGATAGTTTGTATAAGTAGACAAGGGTTAGCGTTCTTTAGTTTGTTTCATCTTAATATTTATTTATGGAAGTCATTGCATTATGTAATGTTGAAGAAGTTAATGTGCATGAGTACAAATTTTCGGAGAAGAATGTTGTAATTGCGTTTAAAGTGTATAAAGCAAAAGTTCTGCGGCCTGTAGCTTAGCAAAATATAGTTTGAAATAATTTAAGAAATAGATCTGTATGAAAAAAGAGTGTTTGTATATTTACTTTATATTCATATAGCGCATGTATTGAATCATTGTTTAAATAACTACACAACAGCCAGAACATTTAAAGGCTCATAATGCCCCATAAATGCTTTTTTCTCTCAAAAAGCTTATAAATTTTGGTGATTTTTTATAGACTCCAAAACGTTACTCATCGGCAAATTACCGGAAGAATTTTAAAAATGTTATTTTTTCTTAGGCATAATGTGCTATGTGCCTTTGATTTTGTTAACGTACTATAATTATGCATGTTTATTAAATAACTGAGACATTCTTTTTACAACTTACGAGAATCGATCATAAGATTAAGGAAACAGAATAATTTTAACAATACAAAAGGGTTTCATTAGATATAGCTTTTTACTATTCAGCCTAATGTGACGTCAAATGTTATTTTAATCTATCATCCTGGAAATGAATATCAACTAATATTCCCCAGGGGCGAGTAATCTATATAGACTTAAAAAACGTAATGTTCTAGTTCTCTCCCCTCGTAAACAATCAATGATGAAGGTGAAAAATTACTTAATTACTTTAAAATGTTGGTTCTGCATAATAGAAAAAACAAAAACATGTGTCTCAGGGTAATTGTGCATATTAGTAACCATTGAACTGAAAAGCACTAAAAGCAGAGATATGATATTTTTATATTAATCTTAAAGAATATATTATACATATTTTTCATGATGAAAAATGCACGTGTATATTTATTTTGTAATTAATTGACTATAATGATTATTATTGATATGTGATGTGGTGACTGTATAAATATGATGTTCTGTCCCATTTTAAGGAAATAAAAAATATTTATATCAAACACCATCTTGTTATAATTTTGCCAACATCTTGTAACAATAAATAAAATAATTCCGTTTACAGACGGGAAAAAAGTTGAAATGAACTTAACATACAATTTGCGAATGTATATTACCAAAAGGAAACAACGACTGTATATTTTTCTTGAATCATCATTATATGATAGTTTTTACAAAACTTACGAAACTGACATTCCTATGATGCAAGAAGATAGGGTGTTGTTTTGTGGGTTTTTTTTTTTTTTTGTTTTTTTGTTTTGTTGTTGTTGTTGCTGCTGTTTTAAGCAAAAAAGAACTTTAACACCAAACAAACCTGAATTCTGATATAAATTTGTATCATCACAGAGCTGTAATATAAGTCTCAGTTATAATGGTACACGAAATCACGAAGATCGCTCCAGAACTTTTGTTTGATTGAACAGTAAATGGGAGATAACCACCCAGTTCATATTCAGCAGTTTGGAATCATTTAAGTCCCTTTACCTGTCAACTAACGAGTGTATGCATGGAGCTTTGATACGACGATACTATTTCTGAGAAGAAGAATTTAATGGACAGTATATATTAGCATGTAGTTTAAACTAAATTCTTAAAATGGATATGAACAGTTTCCGTCGTTTGTTTTGTTGTTGTTTTTGTTTTTTGTTGTTGTTGGTGGTGGTGGTTATTTTTGTTGACTTTTTTTTCTTTCTTTTTTTTGTGCCCATTATCTTTTTTGTTTTATTTTAGTTGATAAGCCAATCTTATGCGGGCTGGCCTGACTGTATAATGATGACAAAGGCTGATCACTTTGGGTTCCAACAGACCAAGAGTTAACATTGATTTATTTATTTACATGCGGGCAGCTGAGTTGATTGGCTCATGCTATATAGATATATTGAGACGGCATGGGGGAGGGGGGCATCACATCCTGTTTGTGAAGAATATCAAACAAAAAACAACAAGTATGCTGTATTTATTACGAAGCCAGGTACTACAAAGCCACGAATCGTGAGTCGATATCCCCAACAGAGCTTCCCCACCCACCCATTCCGCTTTACGTTAACTTGACTCATAAAAACCGTGGTGTTCTCCATCCTATAATGTTATAAACATTTACTAGTATTAATATTAGATATTTTCTGGATAACTCGCTTACTATTTACCCATCACATTATTTCGGCTTATATTATGTTGCAAAAGCCAAAAGCGTTTAGTTACATAATATATAGTGTGTCACTGTCCATATTCATTATATGTGACTAAAAATTGTAGTCACTAAACGACTACTTTGGCGCCCGTTTGTGCCTGAAATAACGCACAGATGGGCACCCGAGGTCGTCATCCACCAGTAAAACTGCAAAGTCGCCATATGACCTATACTGTGTTGGTGCGACCACGGGCCTTAATTGACAAATTGAATGCTACATTTTCCAGTGCTTAATTGTTAACGAAAGCGAATCCATTGATATATATTTTAAGAGAGAAAAAACAAAACAAGTTTGTTTTTTTAATGCATCGCAATTCACAGCTCAATTCCACTTCCCGATTCTATACATTTACTTAAAAGTTAGTCAAATTTAAAAAAAAAAATAGATAGACAAGAGAGATAAAAAGTGAAAAGTGTCGTAGATTTAATCATAAAACTTAGTGTGTAGTCTTCAAATTGCTTTGAAAAATGTATAACTGAAATATTCATGCTAAAGCAGATATTTATATTTATGTATTTTAAACTTGTTTTAACAAAAAGATCCCCATTTTTGTTTGATAAAAACAGAGACTTATATAAGATAAGATAATACAGCCCCCTGATAAAAATATAGGAAATGAATTTCATTTTTTTCTAAACCTTAAAGTTGTTCCCCATTTCTCTTGTTTTCAAAGTGTCTACATAAAATGGAATTATAATGTAATATTTGCGTGCCAAGCTGAAATTTTATTGTTTTAATAATAACTTATTGTATTGTAAATTTAAACAATATATCTTTTCAATTAAAATTTTATGACAATACACAATCTTCATCACTGTGATTTCCAATAATTTGATGAATTGGTGATTTATGTATCTCTCGTGCTATACCCCCCCCCCCCCCCCACCGCCAAACACACACACGCTTCCACATTGACCCCCTACTGCCACGTTATTTTGTCATATTTATTGCAGAGGTGGCACCTTTTGTAAAAACACAAGGAAGGGTGTCACACTAAGATAGTGTCTTCTTAATATTGGGACAGTAACATCCGGATATGACACCTTTGGAATATGCAGACGACAATTTTCATATATCACGCATAATTTAATCAATATTTTTTTAATTAAAAAATCTCAATATCTTAATAAAATTTGCAAAAAATGAAAAATACCCAAATATTTTAGAAAAATAAAAGACACAAATTTTATTAAATGGAAAAATAAAGAGAGAAAAAACGTATTAAATAATAAACACAAGTGTGCATTTATGTAATATCGCAAAAACATAATTCTGAATAAAACAATGAAAATGTATTGACAGCAATCTATTTATTTCTCAAATATTCTATATACATTGTATACAAACTTTTAGATTTTAACTGTCCTCCCTGTTTTATGAAATCAAACGGTATGTAATCTTATTTTCTTTTTTTTTTAATCTCATTTCTCGAAAAAAAATATAGATATTGTTAAGTTATAATTGCTAATTATGGTATCCTTTTAAATGACGTTTGGACTTTGAACTTCAGTTTTGTTGTTTACTTTCTTCATTATCTTCTTCTTTTGTTGTGTTGCCAAATTTATCTTACAATTTAACACAAAAAATATAATTGCATGTTCATTGAAGTTTATATGAAAAATAACCCTGCATTTCTTTATCATTATTATTATTTATTTTATTTTTTTTATAATTTCCTACAGAGAATAAAACCTGGTCTAGAAAAAAATCCATCATGGCAGGAATTTTACCTGTCAAACTAAGCACGTGACCTCTTGAATAATTAACGAGACGGTGCTAATTATGTCTCCTTGACGTCACCCTGCGCCGACAACGATATGAATCTATGCGTATTTGTAGACACATTTGCAGATTTCTTTTTCAGAAATGAGAAAAGGAATAATATTTATATTTAAATTTCAAATTAAATACAAACATGTATTATTCACTTATATATGAAATATCGCGGAATTAAAATGCGTATTTTCATTTTTTTTGTATTTTCACTTTAAATATGTAAAAATATTCACTGCAGTGGCGGTGGTATGTATTTAATATTCAACCCGTACACAACATCATTTCGATTATGTTTTAC